TATATCCGACACCGTACCGTCCGGCAGGCATTCGAGGAGCTGTTTCTGATAGTTTCGTTTGGTTTCTGGATCAACTAGCTTCTCAATGGCTAAGCGAGGTGTGCGCGATTTGCGTACACCTGAAAGCGCAATGAAAACACATCTGAAGTAACCGATCTCCGTTGTCGGTGCGTCTAGTGTCCTGACCAATATGACCACCGAACTGGGCCTCAGCAGCGCTTGGTCTACCTGCCTGGGCGTTTATATCACCAGCGACCACAACAATATCTGAGTTTTTAACCTGCTGTAGAAGGGCACCTAGAGCGTTATAGAAACTGTCTTTGGCAGATTCAGAGCAACAGTCAGTTGGGGCGTATGTGAGCACAACAAACAGGGTGCGATTAACCTCACTTTTTCTAGATTCTCACACAGATTTTGCCAAGCTGACTGCAGAGAGGCGACTGTCAATGTGTATCCAACCAAGCAGAGACGCTTCCGCTCGTTCGTTCAATACAATACCCACCCCAGCATATCCAGCTGCAGCGGCCTCTGCATCACCAGAGGTGCGCAGTCGGAACCTGGAAGAGAGCGAGGGGGCAGTCAGTTCGATTACAGTACTTGCGTTCTGCGTCCTTGTTTCTGACAGACAACATACATCAATACAGAGGGAATCCAGCGTACGCGCAAGAGCCACCTGTTGACCTGCTTGCTTCAGTGTGCGAACATTGAAAGTGGCTAAGTAGACAGGCTTTCGGGGTTTGAAAAGACTTCGAGGTGTTTAAGGTTGTACCTGAACCCGGACGTGCAGAATCTGTAGCTGAGTGTGATGCAGGCCGCGTAACACGGTCAGTCCTAGAGCTGGGACCTGCGGAGTAAGTACTCGAATTTGCGTGGGGAAGGGTGAAAGAGGGAAAACGTGAAAGTGTAAGAAGGGAGGCGACAGCAGCAGCATGTTTTCGCTTACCCACCATGCTGCATGCGGCAAGTTAGGCGACCCGGCTGATGGCGCCACGTGACGGCCGATGTGGCATGAGAATATTGTTAGTTGTATATGTCATGGTTGTTTAAACTCCTCAAATATAAGGAGGCCTGTAAATTACCCGTTGAGACTTTAAATGCTGATATCCCACTGTTTAAATCCCACAAGTATATCGTAGAACGTTTGTGTTCACCAAGGGCATCGGCTCTGTGCTAATGACCTGTGAGTAGGGTTAAATGTTCGGATGAATCAGCGATACTACGAACTTCAACTTACTAAAAGGTGCCCATGACTTTGTGGAATACAGATCGTGTCTGTGTGCTAGAAAGGGAAGAAAACAGAAATAAACCAGGACTCTCAGTTGAGAAGAATGGCAAAAACCCCGTGTACCCTTCCAAGTCTTGAAAACCTCGCTACACAACAGTTTGGAGCTGGGCCAGTATCAAAAGTATAAGGTGTTGCTCAACTAGCCACATACCTATCATAGTATCAGAGATGGAGGACGAAATCTTTAGGCTCACAATGAGCCTTCATAAACTGATAAAACTATCACCATTAGAATATAATATATTTCATAGCCATTTGTTCAGTCTATGGATCAAGCAAGGCCAGGGCTAAAATGAGAGGTTGCCTCTATCCTGCTATTTCATCAAGTGGCCGATAGGTTGGACCTATTCACCCATCGAATCGTTCTCCTGACTTCGATCGTCTCGAGGATATCAGAAAGAGTAATCAAACATCCTTCAGATTCATATATGACTAAAAAAGGTAAATCAGTGACAACCAGCAATGGGTTTTAAGTAACCGGCCGTGCGAGCGGCCTACTCTATTTTTGGAATAAGGTAGGCAGGTGAGGAGGGGTACAAATTTAAAACCCGTTGAATCTGCCTGGAGAGAGCCTCCAAAATACTGACTCAGAGACCGCCAGTGCTGGTACTTGAGTCACGTTTGGAATGCTCTCCACTATTCAGCTGGTCCCGATGCTTTTGATTGGGATACAGATTGGCCGTGGAATTCACCACGTTAGTCTTGATCCAAGTGCGAGTCAGGCCCCACGCCGTTGGGGGCCGGGGCCCCAAACTGCGAGTGAGCTCCCAGCACTTAAGTCGCTGCTCACTCTGAGTAGAATTACTGATTCGGGCAACATGATGCAAAATGCAGAACCAGATGGCCATTATTGAAAGAAAACTGGAATGTGTTGACAGAACGAGCCAGCTCTGCACCAGGATGGCCTTTTTTCTGGATTTGGGGAACAGACTTCATGGGCCGGAAAGATGTTATGTACGCAAGTAACACGCTTCGTCAATTGATAGCGAAGCTGTAGTGAACAGTGTGGCCACCGTTGTACCGTCAATGGAACGTCGCACCTTGGTTCATGCACATCCCTTCATTGACGTCTTAGGTGAAGAGGCTGGAGCTAGTATATACGGTCCGATCCTGCCCCAGTTGGTAGGTTCCCCACCATCTGGAGATAAACCCGTCAATTATGTTGTGCTGCTCCCAGTATCAACTGAGCTCAGACCGTGCCAATTCTGGCAGTACAGCATCAATTTCGGATAGTGTCCACCCAGCTTTTTTGCACCAACTTCCAGGAATTGTTAGACACCCACAACTGATTTCATTGGTGTCTTTATTCTGACCGTACTCTTATGATTGTGCAGAAGGATATGATACTCTCTGGTTGCGAATAAAAACTGTTATTATTATTTGGGATGGTCGGGGAACTACTGAGAAAAAGACCAACAAGGAGCAAGGACCTTCCCAACACCATTGAGGGTGCGGCGTGGTTGGCGCTTGGTGCTGCCGCCCAGGTGCACACAGCAGCCGCAGTTGGACTGAGGATCCAAGAGCCCCAAAAGCTTCAGAACAGTGCGACAGGGACAGCAAGAAATCTGAGACCATCAGTAGCGAGCAACTGGGAATGATATCAGCTACTTGGTTATCTAGTGAAGTCACAGCGCCATATCTTGGGGCATGCTGTCAAAAATAGACTTATTTCACATTGTAACAATTTAGGCATGATCTAGCCGGTCTGAATGTTACGGGCAACAAAGCAACTGAGGGGGGAAACAAAGGAGGGTTGCTTATCACGTGATAAGTAATCGAACAGCGTGGGAAACCGAAAACCTGGAACGATGGGGAATGATTTGAGACTCATATGGAGATGAAGCTTGAACCAGAACGGAAAAACAACCTCAACCCTGAATGACTTTGGATAGTTGAGTTAATGGCCAGGCTCACAAAAAGCTGAAATAGAGAGGAAGGGATTGAAATGTTCGCATTTTAAACAAATGGTTGGTTTTGCCAAAATATGGTTCACATTAAAACTGCTTAAACTCACCAGTGGCACTCTCAGAAAGAAGGCAAGTGTAAAATGCATTTTAGATAGAAAAATAATGCTGCTGAATAGGGCCAATAGAGAACCATTGGTAGAATCACTGAACATGTGAGCGAATAAAACTAAATTGTAGCACATGACTGTTTTGGTTAGGTCCAAACGAATGGCTCAGCGATTTGGACAGGTCCAGATGAAAGATCCCTTTGTAGTGGCAGGTAAAAGAACAATTGAACAAGGGGGGACTTTCAAAAGCAAGAAGATGGTGTTTACGAGTGTGCCATTAGACTTATTATGGCAATTGTATGCCGTCATTTTCATAACATACATCCGTTCCGGACATCCATGTAACGGATATAATGGTTGCGGCTATCAGATGAGGGATGCGCATCCTTGCTGCAGCTGGATCAGGCCTAACCGAGGAGATTGAAAGGAGTAGAATCAAGCCGACGTGTAATCACTGGTAATCTTTGTTCAGTTTGTTAATGTGCGTGTAAATTGGGGGGCAGGCAATATAGACGATCACTTTGTGGGGCGTCCGGAGCAGCTACCGCTTGGAAATAGGAAGAAATAGCGTGAGATCAGTGTAGTCCGTTGAGTGACAGGAGGTATCCCATGGAATGTGCACAATAAACGTGAAATCTGAGAGCAGTTTTTGGCAGGCCACAGGTGCCTACGAAAGGGTCATTATTTGGTGGCTGACCTGGCAAGCAAGGAACGGCTGAAGAACGGGAACGAAACAAATCGCCTAGAGTGTGATTCTGCAGTACAATCAAATGTCGACGCGAGAAGCCAGCACTAAAGTTAACAGTTGTCTCACCCCACACTGAGCATCAGTCTATAAGACGAGAGTATTTGCAAAATTATGGGGAGGTAAGGAGTTAACCCGCGTGATAGTGAGCTGCAAGGATGTTCGTTGGACCAGTTATAGGGGGAAATTACAGTGCAAATGTGGTTTCCTCCCGCCTAGTATATGGGATCTGTGTAATAACCCTCGCCCGACAAACCAGGACTGATTCGTTTTTGTTACAAATGGAAGTAATCCTTCACATAGCCATTTTTCCTTCACCATAATTATTATTATACTTTTATACCCTGCTTGCTATCTAGTAACCGTTAGGCTTTCATCTTTCTTGTGCGACAATATATTACTAACCTTCTGTCCGGTGATGCCTCGACCAAGAAAGGACTTTTGTACGTGATTTTGACTGAAGGATATGCACACATGAACAAGTGTGGGTGCACGCTTGTGGGTTGCTTTTAACGAGCAACTTCGGATCATGCATAGAAGAACAGACCTACTAAAATTTCATATAAGCTCTGCTTTTACAGCGGTGCACAAACAGTCTTGAAACTTACGAGCCCGGAATCCTGACAATATTACTTAGCGCCTCGTCGTCCCGGAATCTAAGCCTTGCTAAGCTCAGCTAGATTATTCAGGCAAGGAAGCAACGGGCATATTCTCCTTTGCGTAAACTTTCGATCTTTCGGTCTTTTTTGCATTAAGTTGCCTGTAGTAAAAATTTTCCTCTACCTCTTAAAAGGTTCACTTTTTAAGTTTTTTAACAGCAGGCAATCCGAATCCATCGGCTATCTGTCAAAATGTGTTACATAATGTTGGTGGTTGTGTTTCAGTCGATAAACATCATGATATCACTCACTTTGTTCCATTATCTGTGGTCGCTTTGATGGTGTCAAAAGCATAAAATAAAGTTTACTATAGGCGAAGTGCACATGGGCGTGTTTTACTGCAAACTAACTGGCGTTTGGGGTCGTGGAGACATTCAGGAGTTGGACTTATGTAGTATCTGTTTGGTAAATAAATGATTTAAGATAATAAACGAGATTATTGTATCACCTTGAACAGTACTTGGATAAGCACATTCTAAGATAAAAGACAAGAAACAGCGGAATTCGACTGGCTGTACTGAGGACGGTACAGGAAAAAGCACTGCTTTTCAGATAGATACAACAAAAGGAAAATGAAATGTTCGTGGAGCACTACGAAAGATCGAACAGTTTGTTGTGACCTGAAAGTCCTGACAGGTAACCTGCATCAAACAATGATGGGCTCATGAATCATCACTTACTTCTTGCCAGAAGGATACTGATACTATTGAACAGTTAGCGAAATAGCGGCATCCGAAATATGTGGCGAAAAGGGATGCTTTTCTGCGAATAAAACACACGGAAACACAACTTATGAAACAACTGTCTTTGCAAACATCAAACCAGTAATATTTATTTTACCAGACTAACGGATGCCAGTAAACTTCATGCGTGATATGAGAACTCGAGCACTGATGGCAAAAGTATGGTTTCGAAAATCATTGTTCAACTACCGGAATAGCCTCTTTGTTCAAGTGGACGGCGGTACGAATATGGGAGATGTACTGGAAGATGTGCGGTGAGGATAAGCATGGCTAGTGCAGCATGCAATCCTGATTTGCCACATGAAATAAATGACACTTTTTGGTTTTCAAGAAAGTGTATCGGGGCATGCTGAGGGCATG